TACGAAAAATTGTTGGTATTCAATTCTGTTTTAATGCTTAATGTTTATAGTACTTTTATTTAAAATAATGCTGTTCATGCTGAATATAATTAGCTGAAAAGTTATTTTAAACTAAGTAAATTTAAACTTAATTTGAAAATATAAGAACATAAAGAAGAATATAATATAATTGCCTAGATAAAGCTGATAAAATTAAAAACATTCTATATATATAGATTTTTTAAAGTTTGTAAATGATTTAGTTGATTTTCCATTCGAATGAATAATAAGTGTAATAGTTATTTTTCCCATGTGCTCTGACTGCTGTGGCTGTGTCCTGTTTCACTAGTGTGTGCATTTCAACGGTGTCCTGACGCTCGTCCTCGTTTTCGTTGTCGCTGTCGTCCTGGTCTCCTGTCGCTGCTGTTTACCCGCTTTAATCAACCCATCCAAATCCACATTCATGTCCATGTCCACGAAATGTTTTGTGCTCTGTGGGCGGAATGGGCGGTGGATGGGCGGTAGATGGGCGCAATGGGCGCTTGGTTGGCTTGGGTGTTTCCTGCCCCTTGCGTCACTTCCTTGCAAATGCTGCAGCTTCCGTTTCCGGGATATAATGTTCATATTTTCGAGGACATTTTCAGGAAATAAAGTACGTCGCCCTCACCTCACCCGCCCCGCCCCGCCACGCCCCCTCGTTTGCCAAAGGGGAATGACGATAACAAACCCAAGCAAAGCCACCCACTACCCAATCCATCTACACTGGTAAAAATATTTCGTTCTCAATTTATATGTTTTTCGCTTTAAATTTGATAAGGTTTTTAGATATTTTAAATATGGTAAAGTTACATTTTTTATATTTCATTTGTCTTTATAATATTATTATATTATTATATTATTATATTATTATATTATTATATTATTATATTATTATATTATTATATTATTATATTATTATATTATTATATTATTATATTATTATATAATTATATTATTATATTATTATATTATTATATTATTGTATTATTATATTATTATTATTATATTTTTCTATATAATCATGAATTTTTATATGAATTGTATTAAATATTAAGATTTTAAAATGATAAAATTATGTTAAATATAGCAAATGATATATGATATATTTATTTTGACTTTATCATTTTTTTTACCAGTGCACTAGTCACTTCCTTTTTGGGAGTCCTGGCTCCTGGCAGGAAACTTTTTGCCTTGTGCCGTGTGCGCATTTATGCCAGCCCAGAGGTCCACCCACTGACCCACCCAGCCACTACCCACCTCCCACCTCCCACCTCCTCCTCCCCCATCCTTTCACTCTTCTCTTTTTGCTTCCGCTTTGCCAGCAGGATGCAGGATGCAGGATGGCGGGCACAAGAGTAGGAGGAGAGGAGGGGAGGAGGGAAGGAGTAGCTGCGGGGGAACCAGAGTCTGTTTGAATTTTGTCGCACTTCCTGTAGGTGGAAAAGCTTCGTGCGTCTTCCGCTTTTCCAGAGCTGCTCATCAGCAACGTAATTTCCGCACAGCCAGAGCAGCTGCCTTTGAGTTCTCGTGGGTGGGCAAGGATTAAGAGTCCAGACAGCCACTGGAACAGGGACAGACAGACTTTAAAAAAATCGACAAACAAGTTCCCCAAGGAACAAAGGAGTAAGGTCAATTTATTTATTTTTTATTTACTTTATTTCATCACAAGACTTGTTTGAAATATATTTTAAAATCAATTTAAAAATAATTATGCCTTAACTTTCCTTTCTGACAATATTTTTTTTTTAAATATAGTTTCATAGGGAATTTTTTTGATACCCAGAAATACTTTTAACAATGTTGCAATTAAATGGGAAACATTAAACAGGTTTTAACTTATTTATTTATTAGAATTATAGGTTATTGAGTGCAATTTTTATTAAAAACAAAATATGAACTATGATTTTACAGTAATTATTTATTTATATACATATTTTTTAGCTTTAAAATAAATGTATTAAATGTTTAAAATTCATGTTTGTTATAAACGTCTTCTAGCATTAAAAAATATTTATTATATATTAAAAATTCTTCATTTCTGTGAGTGCAAAGTGCCAGAGTCGGAGTCAGAGTTCAGGTTAATGAAGTGCCCCTCCGACGACGACGATGGCATATCGTATCGGATTGCCCGGGCAACAAGTGTTGCTCCTGCTCACCCTTACCTCACATACCTGCACTTTTATCCCCTCACTCCACCCCCGTGAAATAAAAAAGGTATCAACGACTCTTTGTCCGCTTGGCAGTTCATCAAATTCTCATGTGACCAAGCGCAGTAAGTTCAATTCATTCGAAATTTGATATGCGCTTCACATATTTAATGACTTCTTTCGGTTGCCGTCTTTACATAACACTCGATTCGATGAACTGCCAACGATCCCAATCCCAATCCGAATCGGATCCTCTGTTGCACCCACCTCACAAAACCAGGCACTTGTCGCATTTGGTACTTGGAAAAAAAATATACTCCACAACTGGACAAGAAGTATAATTTTGAAAAAAACCTTTAAAATTAAACCAGGAAAATGGAATGGTAAAAACAATAATAATTCGGTAATTGCAAATATTTTATTTTTTAAAAACGAGTGGGTTAAGACAAAGTGCTATTATGTTCCATGACTATAATGTTTTGGCAAATACCATTGACTATTAAAAATAATTGAAAGTCCATATAGGAAAAGTCCAAATATTTTTAATAAAAACGTTTAGAAGTTTATTGATCTAACTTCTACACTACAATTTGTTAGTTTTATGGTCAATACGAATTATAACATATTATAATAATATAATACATAAAACAATTTTCAAAGGAAAGGCATTTTTTCATTTGCTTTCGATTTAAGGGTAGTTAACAAATTTTACTTGTTAATTTTATTTATTTTTGGTATATAGACTGCATTGATCATGCCTATATAGAATTACAAATTAGTTCATGGAATAACTAAGTATATTTTATACAAAATTGCAACTTTTATTTTATTTTAAACACCTTTTAGTTTATTTTAAAAATGTATAATTTATCTGAGTGTAGGGTTGGGCCTTGCCTGGGTTCAAAATGCCGCGGATATTCCCCATTTCCATGTCCAATCCCTCCGCTGGGATGGGATCCCGATTCCCCAGCCCAATCCTAGCACGTGATGGAACGTGGATCCATGGTCGATGAGTGGAAGTGGCGATGGCAGTGGCGGTGGCAGTGGCACTTGTGGCAGCAATTTGGGATAGATGTTGCGTGTTTTTTCTGTTTGGTTGTTAGCCGACTCAAATGCCACGCCCTTGTCGGCGGCGGACGAAATGCATTTGTATGCAGCGTGGCGGATGCGACGGTCCAAACGTTTATTTCTCCATTTCTCGGCGAAGTGTGGGAGACCGGCGGAGAAAGAGCCGGAGACGGAGGCCCAAGGAATGCACTAAACCGCTAGCCAAGCAGAGAAGTCCAAAAGAACCAAAAAAAACCTCACAGTTTCGGCCACAAGTTAAAAGAACGGCGGCGGGAAAAACATAATAAAACAAAAAAAGGGAACGGTGGCCACAAACAACAAGTGGGAGTGCACTGAACGAGATTTACTAGCTTAAAGTTTGTAGAAAATATATATAAAAGGTAGTGAGAAAAATGAAATAAAATAAATAACTATTTATTTTACATTTATCCCTTCTTGGATGTTTTTATTAAAATAACTTTTTTAATCCTCAACACTTTTATAAAATAGTAAACCAAATAAATAAATAAACAATAAATAAGTTTACCTTTTGTTAGGGGCTCTAACCTTGTTAATATAACATTTTGAATTCATTTTTAGAAGGGAAAGACTTTAATTACTAATTACTTAATTTATTAGAAAATAGTTGATTTCTAAATTTGTATATCTAGAGCTTGTTTTTTTCTTTTTTTATTAACTTATATCGATCCTAAGTAATTACTTCTTTGTAATGTTAATTATCCCGCAAAGCAAGGTCATAACTTTTTTCCAGTGCACAGTTCTTGTTATTTGAAACCCGGATTTACACCAACATTAAAGAGAAAGAACGAACAACAAATTACTTTTACCGATCACAAAAAAAAAACCAGCCGAAGAAAAGAAATCAACAAAACAAGAAGAACAACGACAGTAAGCCACAACATTAAAGTCGGAAAACAACAATAACAATAACAGCAACAGCAACAAGTGGGGAGATAACCCGGCTGCGACTGCGCAATGACAGCCAAAGAACCAGAGAGGACACCATCTGAATACGAATGCATAAATTAAAACCACAAGAAAATAACAACAAAAAAACATTAAACAAAAAACAAGCAACGGCGGAATAAAATTTCCTATGTACGAATGCACTTGTCCAAAGGTTCACTTCTCACAATTGATATGCCCATCCCGAAATGGAAATTGTGCATGCAGAACGGAATCCGCAGTGGGCGTCTTTGGATAGCCCCCATATTATCGGCGGAATGGGGACGTACGCTTTGGTTGTGTATTGTGGGGAATTCCGCTTCCTCAGAACACCGAGTTCTTCAAAATTCTGACACTCCAAGCGCCACAAAAACCAAATAGTGATAGGAATATTAAGAATAAACTTCCAAATGCTCACGAAATAAATCATTTTAAATTTAAACATATTCCAAAGCCAATAAATCTTGAGTTAGAAAAAATTTGTTAAAATAAATAATAAATTCCTTTAAAATAAAATACACTGGGGAATTCCAAAAAAAAAAACCCTGTCACTTCAAGCGTCACAAACAAAATATTATACTATAGCTTATTATAGTATAGATAAACTTCCGATTGCTCATGCAATAAAACATTTTGGGTTTAAGCCAACCAATAAATCTTAAGTTAGCTAAAAATCCCTAACAAAAAAATAATCTCATAACTTTGAACTTTGCTTTCTTCAGTGAAACAAAGCTTATTCATTGCCTTTTAAAACATTAAAGTACACTGGGGAATTACGCATCCAAAATTCTATAAAAATTGATTCCATAAAACCACTTTATATGCATTATAAAAATGATAACTTTAATAGGTTCCGAGTTTCGTAAATGTATATGATTAAGTGTGTGTATATATATATATATATTGCAAATAACTATAACAAACAATAAGCGGAACAGATCTGTCATCATAATCAAGCCTGATAACCTGCAGCACACATTAATAATCAAATCGAATCGAATTGTAATGTAATGAATCATTTTCTAGCACCACCGTCGCTGGCACCGTCTATTATAATTTAATGCTATTGCTATGGCTAGGCGAAGACAATCTAAATTAGTTTCACAATCACTGCGAGTTTGCTAAACTATTTAGCATAATAAGAAGCCCATCGAGTTCTCCTACTTAAGCGTAAAACTTAAAATATTTACACAAAATCCCAGGTGACCAGCCCCTCTCCCGTTGAAAAGTTGCTAATCTCGTGTAAAACTCCTGAATCCCAAATGTCCTTTCCGTTTTGGTGTTTCTTCTGTTTCTGTTTCTGTGTGTTGTTGGTTTTGGTTTTCTTATCGGTATGCTCAGAGCCAGAGCAGGCGTTGATCCCAGGCCTGCGGCTGGGCCAAATCTCAGAGACCCGTGTGACTGGTCTGCAGCTGCTCGATGGAAATGGAGAGCTGTTCCAGGCGCTGCATCAGCTGCAGCATATTCTCCTGCGCCTTGTTGGTGTTGAACTCGTTGCCGTGCTCCAAAGAATCCTCCTCGGCGGCAGCCAGCTCGAAATGCAGTTTGGCCAGGCTCTCCTGCTGCTCGCGGATCTTGGTCATCTGATCCATGGTGCAGCCGGAACCTGCTTGGGAGTAGAAGATTGTGATGGAGGATTAGTTAAAGTCTTGGTGAAATTTTCGAAGGTTATACATATATGTCATGTCCTAAAGAATTCGCGTTTTAAGCCTTCTGGTAGAATCTTTCGAAAACGCCAATTCTTTATGACAGAGTCGGTCCAACATTTCCTTTTTTTTAAGGCCTAAGAAATACTTAATAAAATCTTGAACTTGTTAAAGGGTTAATATCACATTATGTTTCTATATTGTTTGTCATAAAGAATTCCTTCAGCTAAAAAGTTCAAATACTTTTAAAACGCGGATTTTTTTATGACAAGTTCTCTTTTAAGAATTAAAACATAACATCTTGAATTTATAATCCAAAATGGTCTTGCTATTCAACACAAAATTTATTTTGTAACAATTAAATGATTATGTTAAGCTGAGAACGCGAATTCTTCAGTTTCACTTTAAGAGCTTAAATTTCTTTCTAAAGAAAGAAAATAAAATTCAAACTACACTCACCGAATGCCTTCAGTTTGCCAGAGTGAAAGTCATCCAATAATCCTAGAAGGGCTCGCTCCATGTGCTTCACATCGGGAACTTCGGAAACAAATGAATGATGTTTTATTGGACGATCATCGAATTTTCCGCTGTGGACACTGGCATTTGGCATCGAAGCTGTGGGATTCTTGCGACGCTGCGATCGCGGTGTATTCGCATTGCTATTATTATGTTGATTGTTGTTGTTGGGTTTTGTGCTATCGTTGTTGTTGTTGTTCTTGGGGGTAGTGGTGTTGTTGTTCGTGGTTATGGTGGGATCAGGTGCTAGCCACTCGCTGCTCACCAAAGTGATGGCATTCAAACTGTTAGCACTGCTGTGTGTGGGTTCCAATTGGTCGCGATCTGGTCTCGACATGACATGGTCAACAAATCATACGTGGGGGATATGGAAATACAAATAATAAAATACAATAAATGAAGAAATCATAAAAAATCAAATTAAAAATGTATTCTTACATAATTTAAATTAACTACAAAACTTATGAAATAATATTTATAGCTGTGAACCATAAACATACTAAATATATTTTTAATACAACAAAAAAAGATCTGAAACCATCATACAAATTAACAATAAAAGGTAATTGGATATTGAATATGATATATAAAAGAGAAAAAGATTTAAAATATATATTACAAATTAATATAAGTTAACTGTTACTTTCACTTAATTAACACTTTTTCTTCGATATTAATAATCTAAATTAAATAACAATAATCAAATTAGAGTATAGTAAATAATGCTCTATAAATAAATAAGCTACCACTGCCGTGTGAACAGAGCCGAATGTGAAAGCCAACAGAAAGCTAAGAAAAAGGTCCTACGACCGTCTGTTATTTTGTGTTGCTTTTCGCATGGGGTGGCGAGAGACTTCGAAGGCTTGTAGCTTCAATTATTGAAATGATAACCACCTATTTCTAGGGTCTGTGCGCGGGTGTGTGAATAATGAAATGTAATGTATTCAGGACATATGGACACCGGAAAAGTGCGTCATCGCTGGCGAAGGTCAATGATGGCCGTGATAGCCAGCAATTAGTCAAATTTATTATCAAAAGAGGAGATATTAGGGCTAAATTTCATATATATAGCATGAAAACTAAAGTTAAATTAAGAGTGCATCTTTGTTTACAACAGAATTAAAGGAGTGTGTTCTTTAATTTAAAATATTCCTATATTGATATTCAAAATTATTTATGGTATCTTTTTGTTTGAAACGTTCGTTTAAATTATTTTTTGAAATCAAAGAAATATGATTTGTGGGTACTACATTTGAAAAGATATCATTTTGTAAAGTATTGATGTATCTGAGAAATAGTGCAAAAAGTTATGGCAGTCAAATCGGTTATAGGTCATAAGGAATTTCTACTGTAGGTGAAACCGAATACCGGAACCCTTCCAGCTGACACCAAAAACAGCGATCCACAGCGACGACTGAAAGGCATAGAAAAAGGGGGGAAAAGCGATGAGTAATGTGGCTTGATAGCTCGACCCACCTTTGAGCAATTTGCGTGGCCTGGTCTTAAATTCAAATCGTTCATCTCCGCCGCCTCCGCCGACACTCCCCACATGCGCCTGTGGGCGTGGTCGTCGCTCATTCACATACGACACTTTGGCAGCCGTTTGACCCTGTCCCTGACTCTTGTCCTTCTCCTTTTCGGATATTGTACGCTCGATGGAACAGGAGGCGGAATTTCGGCTGCGTGTGGTATCTCCACTGGATATTCCTTTGATTTTGATCTACATAAAAACGGGAGAAATATATGTTTATGGATCCACAGAAGCGAGGAAATCTTACATTTGGAACGGCTGGTGAGGCGGGGGTTTGAGCTGATTTCGGTGCGCTTTGGCTTTGGGCTTCCTCCTCGGTTTCCACATCGTTTGGCACAAGTTTTTGGCGTTCAACCACCTCATCGTTGGGCTCCATTTCGTTGGTTCTTCGCGTTAAATTCTACTTAAATCTGTTGGAACACACAAATTTTCTTTGTTTTTATTTTCCTCCCCAAATAGTGTGGCCAGATTTGGTACGTGCTAAATATACCAGACTCACAATTGAGTTGCACAAAACCAGTGCTGCTCTACTCTTTTATGAGAAATATTTTTAAGGCGGCTCTTTTGATTTGTTTTGAAATAAGAAAAACACAAAATTTAATTAATTACATTAGTGTATCTTTAATCAAAGCAGTTTTTGATCACTTAATTTAGGCCTTCTTCTTGGAGAATCCCATTGTGTAGACCAAATGGATAAAGCTTAAAACGCCAACGCCGCACAGTCCAGCAGTTATGCCAAACAAAATCTTATCCGCTGGTCCGCCTTTCAAAAAAACAGGCAATTCGTTTACAGCCTAAAAAATAAAGGGCATTAAAATATATTTTATATTTTAGGACATTGTAACTCACCTGGAAAACCTTCATTTTGCTAGAGAGTCCATCGGGTAGAGCCATTTTTGCTTAGGTCTGTTATGTAACTGCTAAATATAAAAAAAGACATAAAAATTATACTTAAATATTTAAGAAATTTATTTGTTAGTCTTGTTGAAAAAATAGTTATTTTCTTCTTTCCATTGAAGTTATTTTGTTCCACAGAAAACACTCACCTTTAAAAGCTTGAGCGACAATTAACGAATTGCAATTTATTTGCTGCAGTTTCTTGTAAAAGATAAAAATAGAAGTAATCACAGATGATTTTGAGCAAAAGGGAATGCAGGAGAAATGCATTAAAGAGTTGTCAAGTTGTATATATATTAACATTAAAAAATAGAATATAATAATTAAATAAATAAGAGTGGCTTATGCTTAAAAAAAATTAATAAATATAGAGTCGTAATTAGATGCTTGGTTACTCTAGTTACGATTATAAAATATAATTTTGCAGATAAATTAAATCTTTAATTTATATTTAATCACCTATAGTAATCGCAATATAATTTTTAAACACTTCTGCCAATTGCGAAAATATATTTAGTTATCATTCTATATAAATGACTATTTCTCAAAGAAACTTATATTTATTTCTTCAAAGTTTAAATTTCGCGGGCTTCTACGCACGTTACAAATTCAAATCTACGACAAGTTACTTAAATCGTAAAAACGCAACTTTTTCTGTAACTTATTTCGTATATTTAAAAAAAAGCATGAGCGACAGAAATCAAAACTAAGCATTATTTTTAGGCCATAATTTTTCCAATTCGGAGTCGCTTCGAATGATTCAAAATTTTAAATACCAACTGCCGGATTTTAGAGTTGCGTCGTGACTCGCCGTCCGGGAAAAAAATTGTGTGTTCCGCGCTATTTTGGCTTTTTGTGAATTTTTCAACAGGGGCTCAGGAAAAATAGGCGGTGATTTGGCGTCTTTTCTGCACTATTCCTTTTTACGGCACCACGCGAATGCAACACTGTGTGCGAGTGAGATGGCCCTGCTCCAAAGTGGGGCGCGGCAAAAGCTGCGCACAGCTGCCATCCCGCTCGCACTCGTTGCGAAAAGTGCTTGCGGCGAAAAGCACTCCGAAGACACTCGGGGATATCCACCAATTGACCGCTTCTGTGCGCCTGGTGGGGATTACAATAATTCTACACCGAATGAGTTGTGCAATTTCGTTGAAAAAACTGCTTCCGTTCGGTTAAATGTGCAATTTTGAAAACGATATGAAAAAAGAGCGTTAGGGCTTGAAAGAAATGGTTGTCTAAAATAGGCACCCTCTTTGCTTGGTTTTCGGAAATTTTTGGGTTGTTTTTTCAAACATCATTTAGATTTTAAAATTTTTACAAATATGCCTCAATTAGAATTAGAAAAGAAATTTACTAAACTTATAAATTTTAAGTTTGTTATCAACTTTTAGTAGTTAAATATTTTTGAACGTTTCTAACAAAAACAAAAAATGTAACTTTGGAATGTTAAAAATTATATCAATTAATTCAAGTGTAATTACAAGCTTTTTGGGAGTACACTTTGTTTTTTTTTTTGTTTTAGCTTGGTACATTACTATAAATTTAAAATTACATCTTTTTTAAATAATTGCTTATATTTTAAAGATCGTTAGTAAATCTTGAGTCACTTTTGTATTATTACTTAAGTGATTTTCACAACCTTTTTTTTATATGAAAAGCAATTAGGAACAATTTAAGTGTGTTTCTTTTTTTCACTTCTAAACAAAAATGACAAGTTAATTAACTTGTCTTAAAAGACTTTTTTATAATCACTTTACTAATAATTGAGATAAAACAATTCATTAGACCCATTTGTTTAGTAGAAAGTTATTAGATATTTAAAAATTGATTTGAGGTCTTGGTTTTTTTAATTGCTTACAAAATCATTGCAGCAGGCCAATAAATAAATTCTTTTGTATTATGTGCCGGCTAAAAAGCTGTTTAAGCTCTCGGCCGAACAAAAAAATATATAAAACGCTTACGCTCGGATCGGTTGACCCCCTTTTCTCCCCCTTGAAGCCGCAAGCATCGTCGACCTGTTTCAAAACAAACACAAATATAAAACCCATATCGCCCTGCTAAAGCCTTCGCCGATTTTCAGCGCCCAGCACAAGAACTTTCAAAAACTGTAGCTTCCATGCTAAATTAACTTGCCAAAGTTGCGATGCGATGCGAGGCGGCCGCTTTTCGGTATTCCGAAATGAAACTTGAAAAAAGTTAAATCTGTCAAGTTCACAATCCGAGTGCTTTTAATAAAACAGCCACTGAAAAGGGGGGATAAGAGAACATATTCTCGGGTTCTTCTCAGGTTGGGATACCTTATACACCAATAGCCCTTTCTCCCTTTCTCTTTCTTTGGGGGCTGTGGTGCGGTCTCCCTCTACCAAAGTTTAAGTTCTAAACTTGTTCTGCAAGCTGCATTGCTCATAAAGAGTGAGTTCTGACGAGTCGAGTGAGTGTTTAAAAGTTCTAGGCCAATCAAGAAGCACAATAAGTCTGAGAACTTTAACCAAAAGCGTTGCATAGCAAAGAAATAATAGGTCTTGAGTAAAAATAGTTCCAAAAATATATTATAGAATCTTAAAAATGCCAAAGAAAGTATTCAAAACTTAGGAATATCGAAGATATAATAATGCCAGTAGTGATAAGATCACTTAGGATTATTATACCAATAATATCATAATTATACTTTACAAAATGTCAGAGTTCAATGTTTTTTTAACAGTGTTATAGTTTCTTTTAAGAGTCTTTATCTATTAATACTTTTATTTCTGAATATTATTTAAGATTAGGACAGTATTACGTAGTAGACTACTAGAAATTTCAAAGTTAGAAGTTTTTAAGCTAAAATTTTTTTTTTTTAAAGTCTTCATTTTTAAGACATTTATTTCTTATTATTATCAAAGATTAGAAATCTGCCAACTTTATTAAATCAAAAGCACCTCCACACACACTTGCAGAAAGCGCTATTAATGCTTTTTTGTGCTTTGCAGATTGAAAGTTTTATCAGAAAGCCAAAATGATGGGTAAAGGGAGCCCCAAAATCCCCTCCCCCCCTCAACATAAGCAAGCAGAACCACAATCCCTAGTTCAGAAAAAAATCAAGCTTATGCTTAGTTCTTGCTTAAAAAGTCTTAATAAATAAAGCACAAGCAACATATAGCAACGAATTTTCGAAATTACTGACAAAAACTATTACCAAATAAATTGATATTATGCAATTCCTTTTTTTTTACATTCCAAGCTTTACCAACAAGCTACGTTTTTGTAAATTCCCATTTTAAGGTAGCACATTGTTGCTCAGCTTTTGTGCAAATGCGCTTAAAGCTTAAGTAGCAATATAATAATTAATTAAAGCTTTAAATTTAGCAATTAAATATATCGAACATAATAATAGGGAAAAATAATTATGATAACCTTATTAAAAGACTGCACAAAAACAACTCCTTGCATCTGCTGCCTTTATTTCGCACTCTTTCTCGCATTTTGCTTCCCCTAACTTTTGAGATCTGCGTGCAAGTTGAGATGGCAGTATGGTATGTGCGATTGCGATGGGGACAGAATATTGGCGCTACTCCTTTTCATGGGGCAAAACAAAATGGATTGCTCTTTAACTAAAACAGTTAACAGGCGCCCATCATTTGGAGCATAGAGCGCACGAATACTGAGCAAACATTGCGGCATATATTCATCTCTTTCGTGCCCGGCGTGGTCCCAAAAATATCCACCCCGTATTTCTGGATGCCTGTTACAAAATTCACAAAACCGCTACGAATATAAGGCATTCACACTATTCACTCACTCGTACTCGTACTGGTACTCTTATCCTCCGCCCCTCTTTTCTGGGTTTCGGGGCGTGGCAGGTCGCGAGTGAGTTTGCCGAGTGGATTGAATGGGATTCAATGTGATAATGGTGGATACGTAGAAATACGTCGGCGGTTTTTGTGTTGTAAAAAATGTTTGAACTGTTTTAAGTTTAAGTTTTAACGGTAACAGTAGAGCAGAAAAGTGTAGGAGGTTGCTTATTCGCCGCAAGAGCGAATGAGATGAAGATAGGCATCCAAAAGAGAGAGGGAGAGAGAGATGGTGTGTCACCTTGGCATTGAAAAATACCTACCCACACAAATGTAAAGCACACGCGTGAGTGGAAGGGTGCTGAAGAAGGGGGAGCAGTTCATTTACCTTTGAGCTCGCTCTGGCGTGGTGAATTAGGTTGTCATGTTGCTTGTGCGTGCGAGGGAGACGCACAGAGACAAAAATGCTAATTACCTGGCGGGAGCACAGGAATGGGGAAACAGTGATGACAAATATTCAGCGGGAAAGTTGTTTTTGAAAGATTTTTTAAACTTTTTTTTTTGCTTTTAATTTTGCATTAAAAAAAAAATAATTATCATTATTCGCATTTTAAATTTAATTTTTAATGATTTTCAATTTCTAGTCTCCAGCGCAGTAAAGCTTATATTACTTTATTAAAGTTAAAATTAATCGGCACTTTTTATTATTTGTTGGGTATTATTAATTTCCATTGTATACAGCAGTTGCATATGAAGTTTTATAATATACAATTCAAGAGCAACAATTGTTAAGAAGTGGCTTCATACCAGAGTTACCAACACTGATGGGTACTTCTTTGAGGCTAAACAATTTTTTTTGTTTTTGGTTATGGCTGTATGTTGGTTATCTCATTGTTATTGCTGCTTCTGCTTTTAGTCGTGATCACGAGCGTTTCTGCTTCTTCTGCTTGGGGCTGTCAAATGTGTTTCAAAGTCAATGTCGTGAGAGTGCGAGCGAGCCAACCAGCCCTGACCCTCCGCCCTCTTCCTTCCTCTTATTCGCCCCACCACCCACTTTTTTTCGTTTAGCACTGGTGTGCGTGTGCTCTCCAAGCTTTAGTTGTTGTTATTGTTTCTCGTGTCGTTTCTGTGTTTGTTTTATCATTCTAAGTGGATGTTGTTGTTGCCGTTGCTGCTGGCGCTCCCGTCATTATTTAGAACCTTTTTCAGTGTGCGCATGAACAATAAAAACAAAAAAAAAAAAAAAAAAACAGGCGGAATAAAAAACGTAACACACCACAAACACACACACAACAAACAAAATACGGGTGTGTGTATTGAGCGAGTATCATCATCATCAAGTGTCGTCGGCAGAATCGGAATCGGAACCAAAAACCCCTCGCAAAAAAAGGGAGCTTGCTGTTCGCCTATTCGAAAATTTCACTAAAAATTGTTTGCACTCTCTCGCCGGGCATGAAAT